AAAGGCTCTGGCTATATAGCCTAGTTTTGGATTTTTTTTTACTGTTACAGTTTTACCACTATTAAGAGAAAAAACTAAATGGTCTCGGTTTTTTTAATGTAGCGTTGAGAAAAATAGCAGTGCTGATTTATTTTTTATAAATTGGGTTTGGTAATTTATTTTTATTTATTTTTTATTTGATGCTCAATCTTGCAAAAAAAAATCAATTTTATTATTAAAAAATCAGAGATAAAGGGACCAAGAATAAAGATGGTGAAAAATATAATCCTTCCTACGTCCCAACATTGTTTATCCAATGTATTTTTGGCAAAATATGCCTTCAAATAATTATATATTTTGGTGCAAACTTTTATTTGTTTTGTGTTTAAGTCATTGGTTTTGAAAGAGGTAAGAGAAAGCCATTAAAAAATAAAATTGGTAACGTAGAATTTTAATTCATTAGAGAACATAGAATTTTAATTTATTAAAGAGAAAGTCAATGTTCTTCCACATTCAAGTAACCAAAAAAAACTTACTATTAATGTCAATGAGTTTTCTTTTCTTTGACAAAAAAAATTTCATTAATGTATTTTTTACTCTTTATATTACTTGAATATGTAGATAGGGTCTAAGAACAAAAAAGTTTCAACTTGATTTTATATTTTTTATTAATTTAAAGATGTTTCAAATAAAAAAATTGATTTATTAAGATTTCAAAATTTTTCTACGATGATTTTAAACAAACATAGATTCAAAATTAGGTTTTTAGGTTTTAAGATCCACCCTTGGTATAAAAAAAAAAAGAAAAAAGAGAAGCCCTTGCTAGAATGAGCTATGGCCTATGGGTTATGGTGTCGGTGTTTGGTGACGCTTTGTCGTTATCGCGGTCAAAGTAAAATCAGGCTGGTGTGGTAGACGATCTTACTAAACCTCTGATTACTTGATTAGCTCTCCTGTCAGGTCCTCCACTGCGATTCTCGTACAGTTGGTGAACATCACCGTCAAGATTCAGCCACTTGCCTATATTGGGTAACGTTCTTTCAAGTTTTTCTTTTGATTGCAATCGGCCAGCACAGTTTGCATTATACTGGGGCTGTTATTGAGGTAATGTCAGTTGTTAGTATTTGTTTTTTTAAATCACTTTTAAGACAACTTATTTTTTAATTTTTTTTTGATATTTTTAAATATTTTGATATATAAATATTAAAAATAAAGCATATTATTTAAATATATTTTTAAATTAAATTATTTTAATATATTTTTAAATATATTTTTTTTAAAATAATTGCGTATATTTTTAAATAATTTTTTTTTTAAATAATTATTATTACAGTACTAATAAGTTTTTAATCTAAAGTTAATTTGATCAATCATTAAAAAATATATTTTGATTTTAAAAGAATTTAAAATGATTTTTTATATAATATCAAGATAATATATTAGATCAATCCAAACTTCATAACTTAACCAGTTAAATCGGTAATCTAAGTAATAAATCTCGCTGAGTTTAAGAATTTTGTTTTTTAAAATTATATTTTACTTAATTATATAATAATAAAAATAAACACTTATAAAATTAAGTATAAACAAAATGTAAACTAACCATTAAGATATTTTTTTGAAATTCTGATAACCTTATAGAAAAAATCAAAATAATTTATAAAAATAAATTTTAAATCAAGATTGTGTTAAATAATAAAATTAAAAAAAATAAAAAAGGAAATGCAAAAAAAACCCATCATTTTTTGTTCATTAGTTATGTAGCCCGTGCTTTACTATGGGTTGGATTAAAAACATTTTGAAGGAAAAAAAGATGGTCAATTGACAAAAGCACTTTTTAAAGAAGGGAAAAAAACAATGTTTAATAATGAACACAAAGTAAAAAATTTGATATTAATATGTGTTAACCCATTAAAAACGTTACCCAAATCATTTGATAAAAAAAAAATTAAAAAAATATTGAAGTTCAATTTTTAATTAATCAAATGATCAAAGATTAAATTGTAAAAAAAAAATCAACTATACAAAGATAAAAATAACAATTATAAGTTAAAAAAATATTTAAGGTTGAAATTAAAAAAATAATAATTAAAAGAATAAAAATTAAATCTAATATAAAAATCAAATAATACTTAATATAAAAAGAATAAAATTTAAAAAATTAATTAAAACAAATATTAAAAAATTAAAAGAATGAGGAATGTAACGGAAATGAAAATAAAATAGGAGGATACATTTTTTTTCTTGGCCAGCACACATCCCGAAGTCATGAAAGACAAAGGAGGGGGGAAAAACCTGAACGTAGCCAAATCATTGAGAACCACTATACACGCGTTAGCCCAATAAAAACGTTGCTACTCGAGAGAGCTGGTGATATGATATTATGGTGTTTTTAGCCCTTATATAATATTTCACACCGGCGTCTTTGCCTTACACACAGACACATTCTCCCAAGATTTTTGACATTTTTTTCTTCTGAAATTTTATATATCTAAAAGAACCAAATTAACCATCATTGACATTGTGTTTAACGCAAAAACCAGAATTAAAGGTCCAAAGAGCCTTTATGTGGCAGCCTATAAAATTTTGAATATAAGAGTAATTATACTGTATATTAAAAATAAATTTATAGAAAAACCCTTCCATGTAGCCTAAATAATTTTATTTTTTTATTTATATAGGGTGTCCGGGCCAGCTTACGCGTACCACGACTAATCCCTACGGCCCATTGAACATCCTATAAGTCTAATGAACAAGTAAGGCACCGCGAGGATGACAAGCGTGCATGGTGAGATTTGAACCCAGATATGAAAAAAAGGCTAGGTAGCCACTACACTATGCAACCACAGAATAACCAAAGAACCCCTTTAGTGTAAGCTATTTTTTAACTTTTTTTTTTTTAAATATTATAGTATTTGTACTATTTGTTTTTGAAAAGTCTCATTTGACTAACAAAAAACAACAATGACTGACTGAATCTCTGTTGATAGACAATCTCACCCTTCAAACCAAGACTACAAAACAATAATTATTTTACTATAATAATCCACAAAAATTCATTCCTACAACCACGTAATCGGGATTTTCAATTAGTTCATAAAGTGAGAGATTTTTCAATTGGGTCTCTAAAGTATCAACATTTGCCAATCAAGTCATTTATGTTTTCCATTATTTCATTGAGTCTCCATCCATGTATGTTGTCCATTAATTCAAGGGATAAAATGTTTCAATTTTGAAGATAATTTGAATGTTTTTTGTTGAAAACTTGTGATGGTTTTAGACAGAGGGATTAAATTGAGAAATGTATTATACATTGAGGATAAAACTGATAAAATAAATTATTGTTAGGATGAATTGAGAAGCAAAAAATATATAGCGACATCACATTAGAAATACATTGACGAGAGCGCGGTTCTTGAATTAATCATCCTATGAATAACTTGGGCCAAATACGCCTGGTCTAGGACACAACGCTTCAACCAAGCTCTATGTTAATTGGGCCAAGCAGAAGGATGCATAACTGTAAATACTTTTTTTTTTTTTTTTTATAATGGTCATAAAAGTCTTTGTTGAATTAAAAAATAACTGTAAAATAAATTGTAGATAATCATAAAAAAGGTTTATCAAAAAAGAAAAAAAGAAAAGGTTCTCTTCAGAATAAAATATTTTTAAAAGGAAATTTAATAAAAACTAAAAGAAAAAGGTTATTTAAATATGGGATAAGTGTATAAATAATGGCCATGCCATCTCCTACACCTTATTAAAAAAAAATACATTATTTTGTAAAGCATGTTTGGAAATATAGTTATAGTTATTTTTTAAAATGTTTTTCATATAGAAAAGTATGTTAATAATATTTTTAAATTTTTTAAATATTATTTTTAAGATTAGTATATTAAAATAAATTAAAAATATCAAAAATATATTAATTTAAAATAATTTTTTAATTTTTTTTAAAATATTTTTAAAATATAATAACGAATTATAACAATAGTTAAGGAAAGAGGGAGGGCAGTCATGAAAGTATAATTATATAAATAAGATGGCACAAGCTTGCTAATAAATAAATATTCCAAAATCTATTTGGAAAAGGAATAAATATTATAGAACAAGGAGTATATTACATGGCAACTAGTGTTTAATCCACAAACTCAAAAGTTATTTTTCTGCAAATTCAATGCTTCTTCTTGCCGCTGTTTGGTATTACGTTTCTAATTGAGTAAAATTTAATTTTTATTTTAAAATTTTTGGACACGCTATACAGAGAGATTGTGCCCTTATAACAATTGAGGATTTATTCTGTCTATTCTTTGAGGAATTTTCAAGGGGATTTTATTAGAATAGCTTTTATACGGCATTTGCAATTTTTAAAATTTGAAGAATTTCTTTTGTGAGGTGTGTATTAAAAAGGCTATAAAAAACTGTTTTTTTAATTTTTTAATTTTTTAATTTATCTGATTTTTGTTCCATATAAAAAACTATTTTTAATACCCATGGGTACCAATTCTTGAAAATTCTAGATAGAACTAGTGTGGTGACGGGGCTTCGCAAAGGATAATAACTTTTAGGAGTGATTATTTTTGGTTTGGTTTAATTTTTACCTAAAAAAATAGCCAAACAAAAAAAAAAACCCCCAAACCGAATTGGGATTGGCACCAACCAGCCGCTTCCGGTTCGGTTTTGGTATGGTTTTTTTGATAAAAAACCGGATAAACTTATAGGCTTATTTTGAGCTTATTTTGGTTTTTTAATGGGCTTTGTAATGAACTTCTAATAACTTTCTATTAGGCTTACAATTAATATTGATATTGTCTCATTTTCTTTGAAGATTCCAAATTATTTAATTTTTTTACTCCTAAATATTTAATTGTATTAAATTATTATTGTCAATCTTATGTTTATTAAATTTTTTGGCCAATGAATATTCATTTATATGAAATTATTAATGTCAATCTTGTGTTCAATATATTTTTTAACTTACTAATATTTTTCTACTTCCAAAAAGTTTAAATAAATAACACACACTCACAACCACACACAAATAAGTTAAAATTCAAATTACAAACCATTGCCTTCAAAGAACTTAATGAAAAAACAACAAATAACATTATCATAAAACACTTCAAGCCACAAAAAATAAATCTTCATGTGCACATCATCTCAATAAAAAAGTACTTTAAGAGCAGTGCACTTTGATTCCTGAAATTCATAATCTAGAATTATAACATGATAAATTAAATAAGAAGATATAAAAATAAAAATGATATTTATACCATACGTTTTCAATAAATGCATCACAATTTGTGAACTAATTATCATCCGTTGCTAAATGCAACTTTCCACCAAATTCTACAAAATGAAATATTAAACATATTACAATAAATATGTTAATTAATAAATTATAAAATAAAAGGTGTAAGCTTTTAATAAACATTACCTGATTTAAGGTTTTCGTAGGTTTCAAAATCATTCATCAAGGTTGTATTATCAGTTGGAATTGGACCATGATGTAACCAATTTTGACAACAAATAAGTGCTTGAACTGTTGCTGGAGATAGAGAACTTCGAAATTGGTCGAGTATAGAACCACCTATGCTAAAGGCTGATTCGGAAGTGACACGACTAAAAGATTGTTGTCTTCTCCCAAGTGCAGGAGTGTCGAAGTAATAAATAACCCGGCAAGACCGGGGTCGAACCACAGAGAGGTTATTTGTATAAATTATAAATAACAATAATACAACAACAATAACAATAACAATAACAA